ACGAAGGCTGGGACGCACCTTGGCCGAATCAAGTTGCAAACAAGGTATCATTGACACATAAAAAACGAGTAACTGCCGACCTCCCATCGGTCGGCATTCTCCCACACTTGACAGCCTCAACTCTCTGCGGACTCCTAGAGACCGAGAAACTGGCCTGGTTGTACACAAATGCTCAGGGACTTTCCAACAAACTGGCTGAATTGAAAGATCGCCAAGCTTCCGGCTCGTATGATGTCATTGGTATCACCAAGACATGGTTGCACACGGGAATGACGGACGCTGAATTGTCGCTACCCGGCATGTCGCTGATCCGGAACGACAGGCTCACAAAAGGATGAGGGGTAATCCTGTACTACCGAAATGACTTACAGTGCGAAGCCCTGGAGGATGCAGACTCGCAGTTCCCCGACTCTCTTTGGTGCCGGTTGTAGTTAAAAGGCAGGGACGCTTGCCTTATTGTCTTGGTGTACCGCGCCCCTAACTCAACACCCGAAACCGACTACCACCTAATGGCTGCTTTAAGGTACAGTTTACAACAAAAGTACACTCACATGCTTACCATGGGTGATTTCAACGTACATTGTTTAGAAGTCCCTATCACTTTCGGAGAACAATTCAAAACCGATCTACAAGATCTAGTAACTACTGTTCCTCTTTACGATCACATCACTTTGCCCACTCGGTTCAGAACTGGTAACAGACCATCTGTGCTGGATCTTGTGCTTACCAACGAGGAGCGTATGATTGCTGCGTTGGTTTTAGACTGCCCGTTGGGTCGCAGTGATCACGCAGTCATCAGTTTCAACTTCGTCTGCTATACAGAATATCTGAAGGATAACGATTATACTGTGCGAACCATCACAAGGTACGACCGACTCGCCCAGCTAGTCAGCGCCACAACATGGTCTTTCCTCGAAGAAGAACCCCCGGAACTCGCGTGGCTCGAGTTCGTCAACACATTCAGTCAGCTGATTGCACAGGCTTCAGATAAAGCTTGCAATAAGTGCAAATCAGTTTCTTTCGTTAGGAGCAGAACCCGAAAATGGATGACAGTACGCAATGCAGCATGGCGAGTGTACAGAGAAGCTCCAGCACCAGAAACTTGGGACAACTACGTAGCCCAACGTAACCACTGTACTCAACTGTTAAGAGAAGATAAAGCCGCCTATCAGCAGAACATCGCAAAAACCTTCAGTGTTGACCACAAACAGCTGTACAAGCACGTTAATAGTCTACGAAAGGTGAGGCAAGGATTTCCTCCACTCAAGACGGATGATGGCCCAACAAGAACGTCTACGGAAGCTGCAAACGCGTTGCAGATGCAATACGCCCCCACGTTTCAAAGAGTCTTGCCACCAAGCGATCTACCAAGTTTTGTATTCTGCTCTCCAGGACTAACCCACTTCAATTTTACCGCAGAGGCTATATTGCAAAAGTTGACTTCTCTACGCAAACACAGCTCGCCGGGTGTCGACACCATTCGTCCAGAGGCATTGGGAGCAGCAGCAAACCAACTTGTAGGACATTTAGCTCAGTTTTTTCAGCACTGCTTAGACCAGAACCAAGTTCCCGCCATGTGGAAGCTTGGAAGAATAACCTCGACTCACAAAGGTGGAAGCAGCACTGATCCCTCTAACTACCGCCCAGTAACCCTTCTTCCTATACTGTCCAAGGTCATGGAATCCATAGTTGCCGATGCACTGGTGTGCTATCTGGAAAACTGCAACCTCCTCACTCCAGAACAGCACGGTTTCCGTCGACAGCGCTCATGTACAACTAATTTACTAATTGCACGCAGTATTTGGACCGAGGCAGCTGACGCTGGAGAAGGTATTGTTGTGATCTACCTGGATTTTTCCAAGGCTTTCGATCGTCTAGACCATCGGATACTACTATCCAAGCTGCAGCATTACGAGATCGGAGACCGTCTTTTAAGCTGGATCGACAACTTGCTACTTCAACTGCAATTAGTGGTCGGAGTTCGGAGCTCTTTATCGGACCCCATACAAGTTGAATGTGGTGTGCCGCAAGGCTCGGTTCTAGGTCCACGCTGGTTTTTAGTGTTTATTAATGACCTTGCACAGGGAATCGTTTCAAACTTCCTACTGTTTGCCGAAGATATCAAGATCTGGCGCAGGATCCAGGTGAACACAGACCAACATGTGCTTCAGAGTGATTTAGATACGGTGTATCAATTGTCGATCCAAAACGTAATGCATTTCAACGTCAGTAAATGCAAGGTGCTTTCCATCCGACATCAAAGCAGCTACTCATACCGGCTCGGAACGGATGTACTGCAACAATCATCTCTCGAACGTGACTTGGGTGTCCTGGTTCAAGATGACTTGGGTTGCTCTAGGCAATCCGAAAAGGCCTCGAAAACCGGGAACCAACACGTCGGGCATTTGCGACCAGCGTTTGGACAAATAAATAGCTCCATATTTCGACAAATGCTCAGTGCGTATGTTCGCCCCCATGTCGAATATGCAATTCAAGCCTGGCATCCATGGTTGAAACACGACTTTAACGCACTGGAGCAGCCCCAACGCCGGGCATCTAAGAACGTAATTGGAATGCGCAATCTTTCTTACCAGGAGAGGCTGCGACGACTGGGATTGTTCAGTGGAAGCTATCGCAGACTACGAGGCGACCTGATTATGGCATACTTGATACTGCGAGACCCACATCATGTGTGCCGCCCTTTACTGCAACTCAGCAGCAATACAAACCTGAGGGGCCACTCATTAAAACTCGCAGAACAATACAGTCGTCTGGAGTGCCGCAGAAATTTCTTTTCCATCCGTGTCTGTCACCCGTGGAATGCTCTCCCAGAATCGGTCGTCTCTGCACCGACACTAACAGTATTTAAAAGACGGTTGGATGATGCACTCATCCACTTACATTTTGTTACTTAACACTACGTCTCCATCCTACACCTGGAGTTTACCATGGAATTATTTGTTGTTAACTGTGGATGCTGTGGATCTAATAGGATCGCAGTACTGCAGCGAGGCAAACGATAAGTCCTTATTTTCATATTTAAAGTATTAACTATTTTACTATCCTTGTCATCATTATTGTTATGTTGAAATTCCCTGCAACAATTATCAGATCCACAGACATCAAGCTTTGACAAGATGGAAGCTTGGGTAATTTTTTTGAAGAGGCCCTGAGCATTGGTACACACACAGGAGACTGTTTCGAATGCGGGATGCCCATCTGACAGTGCGAGCGTCAAGCGTAAGTTGTTACCGATACTTGTGAGGACGGAAGCTAATTACTTGTTGGGGAAGTGCAGACAATGAACTTTGATCTGCTCCATATTGGCTGGTAGAATGATCACAAGAAAAAGTTCCCGTTTCAGTAAGTAATTGGAAGTCCCTGCATATTTAACAGTTGGTTGTGCCCCGCAGTTTTCCTTTTCGGAGGTGGGACTTACTGCGGTCACTGTTAGACCCTGGTGACTTTGCTCTCTCCAAGACATCTGGGGACACCTTTGAACACCTTTAGGCTTATCTTGGTGGATATCTCCTTACTCTACTTGCGCAAGTTTCAAATGCGCTTTTCCCATTGTGTTCGGAATGGAGCTCAATTCCCGTCATCTATAGCCCCGCTGCTTGTACATTGATTATGAGGGTAGTTTTGTAATCGACTTAACGGTCGCGTTGTCAAGTTAGAGCACCTGACGAGAGTAACTTCATTCCCCCAAGCATGAGCTAGAGCATCAGGTTCAGCAGAGAACATAAGCTCCTGTACACCATGAGTACAAATCGAACTTTCATTGTTTTGAGGATGATAGCCATCGTTGTTCTGTTGTCGTTGCTGATGTTGACTTCAAGAGAAGACGGGGAAAATTCAGATGCCGCATGAGTTAGACCGAAAACGTGTCTGAGTAAACAACCATCTCAACATCCTATGCTGATGGTAGCGTCACTCGTAACAGCCGTGGTTCCCCTTAATAGGTCGTTTGGGTGTCGTAAGATGCACACCATCCCAGCCGTTTTAACTTGGACGCTTACTGATATACATTTAGAATCCCACTGTTTTTGGTCGACCAACAGCTTATCTTATGGAGTTCTAGTTTGATTCATGATTCCTGGAACATACGAACATTAGCTACTGGTGGGATCGTCAAGAGGTAACCGGTTTGTGAAGGAATGGGATCTGAGTTTTTGGCGGAGTGATAGTCGCATGTGTGACATTTCTTTTGCCCTGTGTGAGCGCCTCAGGTGTAGCCATAGAACTCGTTACTGGTTCCTGGAAAGCGGCAACAGACGCATATGTAGTCACACCTTCAGCGACAGCGGACAGGTTCACGTGTGTCGGTGTAACCTGCTTTAAACAGTTGTTCTCATGCAATATTGTCTGGACCAGAAGGGGAGTCACACTAGCAGGTTGAAGTAACTTGCTTGCCTGATTTCCGATTTAAACTGTTGGTTTATCTTGTTCAACGGTTTTACCCTTACTCTTGTTCGACCACTGCGTACAGCTATGGAACCATGGGCTTTGAGCCTGGCTACGGTTGATTCCGAAGGGCAGCATTTACTGAGCCCAAATTGCCCGACCATAGCTGCTAGGTTATCTCATGTTTGTACCTAGTTGGATAAACATACAAACAATGTAGAACCAAAAAGCGCTTGTCGCATTGTTCAAGTTCTTCATTGCCCCTGCATTTAAAGGAGCACACTTGACGTGATTAGGTGCGCTATATTCAGGACACAAATTACCAACTTGAACCGTTTTCCCGCAGTCGCAAATGTTACTCGGCTCTGTCTCGCTAGGAATCGTTATGAGCCTGACTTCGTTGCTCGTCATGTTCACAGTTCTTTTTTTGGAAGCAGACAATGAACTGTAAAGTTATTGTTTGGTAACAATTTTATCAAAATCGGGCAGCAGTTGGCAGTGCCGTATGACTACGATAACCATGCTCTAGTTGTCAACTTTTGTCAATCCTACGCATGACTGTTTGGGCAAAAATAGTGCTTTCACACCGTCTCATGTCAGAATGAGGAGTCTGTGGTCTGCAGCTGGGTGGGCACAAATAAAACTCCATCATAACTAAAAAAAATTTAAAGTGTGCGTAGGCTGTGGAAAGTGAAAAATTCAGCTAGCTGATAGCATGGAAATATGCGCTAATAGCTGTCAATCCTCTTACTAACTACATTCAAATTTGGAGCTGATTGGCTGTTTCTGCATGATGGGAGAAAAGGTAGGCGATATGAAAACGGGGATGGAGCCATTATGGCTTTCGGGTAATGAAATGGATTGCCGGTGACGGGTAAAGAGGGAGCATCCCCGTCGACCGGTATGTGGTAAAACTCAGCTAATCTCCTCCTCTATCTTTCTCCCTCTCTCTCTCTCTCCAAATTTATGTCTTCGATTCAAATAAAATAATTTAATAAAGCACAGATTCATGCAGCGACGCGAGAGTGAATTTAGAGATGGAAAACCTTGATAACGTTTGTCGAATCAGATGATTTCACTTAAACTAATAGATATAATCTGTTTAACAGACGACTACCTGAGTAAACAGTACAAAGATGGCATGAGGCTCGCGTGCCAGTTTATACGATTATCCATAGAATGCAGTACAGCTTTAAGACAGACCTGTCCATAGGTAAGAGTTATCACATTCACTTATCAGGAGTGCAATCTAAGCGAATATAGGCGACCTTCGTTTCTTTGAGCATGGTTTTGGAAAGAAATGCTACGTGGGACAGACAGGAAGAAAACTTTTCACAAGACCATGTGAACACAACCTAATCAATAGTCGCCACGAACGAACTCTCTGATGTCCGCGAATATGGATGACGAAAAGTACCAGTTCAAGAGGTAGCGTGCAAATATTCTTGAAAAAGCAAACGCTGACTAGCAAGTGAGTACATGGTAGCCTGGCATTCAAAGCTGAAGTCAATCAATATGAAATTGGAACTCGAATTCGCGTAGGTGGGTCAGTGAACCGGGCCAATGAAACAGCAATAAAAGTGTTACCTAGCTTGGCAGCGAAACATCTGCAAACTAATCATATCATGTCATACTTACTTTCGCCAATAATCACTGTCCTGCAATGTTCGTTTCGTATTGTATTTCTAGAACTATGGCAGTGAAAACAATGCATAAAATCACTGTCGTCGTTTAGTTACGCTGATTTTATCGCCACCGTGCTGCGTTCCGTTGATCCATTAGTTTCCGTGCAACATAGGTTGAGACTGGTTATTTTTTCTTATGCATGGTATCGCCGATCTCGCACACGCATAGCATATTACCACTTGTCCTTAAATCACACTCTAAAGCCGGAAGTAGTCCTCGCTCGAATACCCCACATACACAACCAGCCAAAACGTACAGTGGTTGGCGGCATCCGCATCTGGATTTACCTGTCACTGTGGCCTCCACGGGAACAGGCACAGGACGCCTGTGAATACAGATGGACCATGGATGGCTCGCGCTGCACTATCCACAGTTCCACCCGCACACCCCATATCCAGTGTAAAGACGAAGGAATAAGACCGGGAGGCATGTGGTTGGTAGCAGTGTTGCATCAACAGAACCGACCCACACTCCTTTACAGGCAAACATAAGCACACTGTAGTTGGGGAATCAAACGCACACAAGGCGGTGGCTGGACCGTATTTCGCTACACATTGGGTGCATGGAACCTCTGTTCGAGCCTAGCGAGGTCACGAGGACCGTGCACTTTGTACCGTCCAGCAACAACCAACTGTCTGCTGGAGCCAGTATAAACGAAGTATTGGGTAATAGACTGGTAGACACCATGTTAACGTGCACATCAGGCGCATCCACACCGGGGATGTCAAGTACCAGCCAATCACATAAAATGAAATGTTGAATAAAATAGATCGAATATACCGTACGGATATATCGCATAGCATAAGAAATAAATGGATTATCAAAATAACCGTGATAGACTCAGGATAACAGAAAAAGGAATCAAGACACATATGTAAGGTGGGCAAATAAGCGAAGTTAACCAACTTTAGTTTAAGCGAAATGTGCTATGTAATAGACTATTCAGGTACAACTTAAAGTAACAAATAACATTAATGTTGGCAAACCGACCAAGTGAAATAAAGAAACGCTGCACGCAAGCACCCGGTTAGTAAATCGAATGCAGCGAACCTACCAATGCTGCGCCGGTTCTTCTTAGACTCTCCGCAGTAATAATTGTCGTTTCGATGCTGGACGCAAGTGGCCTCGCTCGTGGCTCACTACACCTGCCTGACTCAAGGATTCGCGATCTCAAGCGCTACAGCACCATGCGCCCGAAGTCAATGAAGTACAACGCATCGGCTTCTTCCGCTTCCGCATTTGCCGCTTCATCTCCGCATGTATCAAGGCTTTCGCCTGCACCACACCAACTGCTTTGTGATCAGATCGCGCCATGCACGCCGAGCAACTGCCTTCGATTCGCATGACCTGTAATCTACATTAAGACGTGATAGACTCACTTCGATTATGTTCTGGTATCGTAACTTCCGATTTTCCATGTGCCGGTTCCCTATACTCACTTGGCCATAAAGCAGCTGTTTCAGAATCCCCGTCGAATCCATACGCCACACATGACCGAGCCACCTCACGTGTCTCAGCAAATGTACGCAGTACACTGCATACATTCTACTTCGGAGCAACCTTCGTGTCTGCAACTGTATCGCACCGACCGATGAGTAGAATCCGTCACAAACACTGTTGATGGAACCGCTCGAGATACCGCACATCCCGCCGATACATCGTCCACGTTTCACTGCCGTATAGGAGAACGGACAGCACCATGGATTTGTTCAGCACCTTCGTGCCAACTAGTTACCAAAGCGCCCCGAATGCCACGGCTGCTTTGGACACGCGGATGCGCAGATCACTGTGTGTCTGCTGGTCAGCCGACACCACAGTCCTTAGGTAGCAGGAGCGGGAGGGGATCCTCAATACTTCAGCACCAATGCTGATTTGCGGCAAATATTGCAGATTGACCTCCTGTGAACGCTGAAAGAGACAGACAGTTTTGCTTGGTTTAATGGTGAGCCCAAATTTGACCATTGTCGAAGCCAGAACACTAGTCATGTGATGCAACTCATCCGTACTGTGTGCAAACAACGCACAGTCGTCAGCAAACAGCAACATATGGATAGTTGTCTCACAGACTAAAGTTCTCGCACCGAAACGACGGATGTTCAGCAACCCACCATCAATACGGTGCTCTAACGAACACCGTAAGCACAAGCGGCATCAGAAGTGCAAGACATCATTGCACGAACATATATTTTAAACACAACAGGAGCTAAAACACTGCCTTGCTTCACACCAGAGACAACTGCAAAGTCATCTTAGGTCTCTCCACTCAGCTGCATCTTCGTTCGCATACTACTGTGCAGACATTCAATTAAACTCGCATATTTGCTCCCACAACCAAATTTAACCAGCACCAGTCTCAATGCATTGCGGTCCACCGCATCAAACTCCTTGGTGAAATCGACGAAAAGCGAGTAAAAAGGCTCATGTCGTTCTCTGCACTTCCCCTGCAACTGAGGAGCCGCAAACACCATATCTATAGTGTTGCGACCCGAACGGAATTCACACCACTCTTCAGCCACTTTAGGTTGCGCAACCTAATTGACAAGGCAGTTGAGCAGGATTCGGGCAAGCACCTTGCCCACACAACTCCGCAAGCTGATGCCACAATAATCCGTGCAACATTGCTTGCTCCCTTTGCCCTTGTACAGTGGTAGCACAAGGGCATCCTTCATCTCAGAAGGCAGCTCGTTTTCAATTCATACGCGTTGCACCAAGTGGTGTAGCGCAGTCACCAACGCATGCATGCTGTGTTTCAATTCTTCAGGCGGGATGCCTTCAGCACCGGTACCCTTGCCGTTTGGCAGCTGAGCAAGTGCTCTTTGCGTCTCATGTAGTGTCCGCGTGTCAGCCAGACTCGCTTTTACATCGTGCTGCTTCAGGCCATTCAACCTAGGCCAGTCAATCTATGTCCTGTTGGTAAAGAGACAGTCAAAGTGCGTTCGCCAGATCCGCATTATGTCTGTTGTCTGTGTGCAGGTCTCGCCTGAGCTACCATCGATCAGCTTTCTCAGTGGCTTCAACCTGGTTCCATAGACTGCATACAAGGAGTCAAATAATTCGTTGTGTTGGCGAGGTTCGGCCTAGCATATCATTTGCTTCGTCTTCTCCGTCCACCATGTATTTCAATGCGACAGTGCTCTCGGGTCAGTCATCGTCACATTTTGCCAAACTTACTCTTCTTCGTCAAGTCACCGGGGGGCTGTCACATGTGCGGCAAATGCTGCATTCGTCTCCGACATCGACGCACTAATCGCATTATTGTAGTAATCAAACCAGTCGGGCCGCTTACATTTTGCACGCCCCATGGTTCCCACAGCAGCAGCTGTAACCGGTTGTGAATATGGGGGCACAGCTCGCCCAATGTGGCTATGCATTCCACATGACCCAGGCGTATAGCCATAGCCTTCCCCAGCTTGATACTTTTCGCCACAGAACCGAGGGAGGGAATGTTAAATTTACGCCGATTCACGGCGGGAGTGCAATACACAGAATAAGGAAAATTTATATACAGTTTGGTCCACACCAATTTGTGAGCATTGCCACACTCAGCTCCACGCAGTACACGTGTCATGCGCATTTCATGCAAATCACGTTAACGTACTAGGATATAGTCAAACAGGTGAGCGTGACCACTCCTTTGGTGAGTCTAAGTTGTTAGATTACTGGCACCCAGTGCAAGCCGAGTGTTCGTCATCGTCAGGCCGTGAGTGGCACACAGTGAAGCAGTCGATCACCGTTCGCATTCGCTAAACCACTGCTATGCGAACCGATAATATCTCTCCACATCGATGTATCACCCCCAACGCGCCCGTTAAAATCACCCAGCAGAATTAGTCGATCGTTCCTCGGCACAGGCCGTATCCTGGAGGATAACTGAGCATAGAATTGATCACGCCTGTCATCAGAATAACACATGGTCGGAACTAACGTGCTTAGAAAAGTGGCAAACTTAGCTCTTCCGCGTAGTAGGCGAACAGTCAGCAGTTGCGTGATGATAACTGTTGGTTCACCCACGAGCTGGCCATGGACGCGATCGGATATTGCAAATCCGACCCGTGTTTAAGTTTTGATGGGTAGCGTTGCTCACCCAGTAGAATGTGCAGCCAGCACCTGCTTTATACAACTCACCTTGCTCAGCGAGCCGGGTCTCACTGAGGGCCGCAATATCGATTTTGTAGCGCGCCAGTTCCGTCGCGACCAGTGCAGAGCGTCGCTCTGGGCGCGCAATCGATTTCCGGTCCAGTAGTGCGCGCACGTTCCAACACCCGATGCTGAGCGTTTTGCGCGCAGGCATACGGATGTATTGGTAGGCATTCGTAAGCTTGGTGGCGGTTATGCTTCTGAGGTTTGCTTGAGTGACTCCGCCCATAGTCTTCGGCTCCAATGCGTGACCCATAAGGCAGTGGGGAGCAGATCCAGCTCGGGAAGGTGATTGCAATGAAAGATTGGGATCTGCTTGAGGTCCATCACACGCAGACTTTTAGGTACTGGAACGATTCATATATGCTTTGCGACCGTAGTAGGATACGCACCAGCGACCACGGCCAGACACAGGAGGGTTTTGGCGGGTTTGCACCAAGTTGACCAGGGGCTGCCATGGCTTGAGGCGGGCAGTAGCAAACCATTAAGCACTCGGTGGTACCCTCTCTCCGTCAGAGACAATGCGTGGCGCTCATGCACTACGGCAATCGAGCGATCAACTTATAACCCGCAGACCTGTTGTATCCCATGGCTAGGTTTTACGGGAAGAGGGCCATCAACCACTTCCTACCTCCGAAGCGGATGGACTAGGATACTGCCAGGGCGCCCACACTTGACAAGAGAACGACTCGGCTACGCAGCCGAAGCGTTCGATTGAATGTACATCTGAAAGGCAGCGGATCTAGCATCGATCAGCTTACTGATTCATGCAGATTAGTGTCCTGAATCTTAGCAGGGAGAAGGGCGTAACGCAGCTCCTACCCAACGGTCGCCACTAGGTTTCCTGGACAGGAGCCCATGATACAACAGGGGCAGCAGTGGGCAGACCATCTGGTAGGATCTAGCCGCCACTAGCCTCAGCGCACCATAGTTTCTTCTGCAGGTCTAATTAATATACCAAAACTGCCAACCCATGGATGCATGCGAAAATAATTCGCCAGCAAGAACAGCAATGCAGTATCTTTTAACCGCCGTATTTTAAATTAGGTCAGTGGAGCATAAAGGGATGCAGCTTGCTTCAGACTATTTAAAGCCATGGTTAATCTGTCGTTACTTGCTTGAAGCATAGTTAGCAGGTTGTTCGATGTTGCTTCCGAATAAATTAGTCTTCCATTTCAAACTGTTTAGTCTTCTCGGTACTGCACATACATGGACTCCATCAGGATCCGAACGCATGATCACTAACGGATTACACCACCAGCCAACAGTTTGAAATATGTCAGGTGCATTAATAGCTATTTCCCCTAGACCATTAGTATACGGACCAAGAAAAATTCGATGTCTAGTGGTTCCATAGAACGCTCCTGGGAATTTGAGAGGTTCCTCAGACATAGCAGTTTGCGGCTGTTTCTAAATAAAATAATGATTTTACTGGAGCTAGTGGATTTGCAGCTATAAGGTTGAGTGATCTCTAATTGCAAGGTTTACAAGTACAGCAATTGAAATCGAGAGGAACGAGGCATCCACTTTTCCGAAATTGCTGGAAACCTACAAGAGATCTCATGTGAAATACGCGGTCCAACCCTGGCGCCCCTGTCACAAACACGATGCTGCAGCACTTTAAATGCTACAATGGATCGCGAGAATTTCGATAGACGAGTTATGTGCACCCCTAACGACATGGACTGCAAACCCTAGGTTTGTGCAACGGTGAAAATTGGCGATTGCGAGGGAACTTCATCAGAGTGTACTAACGATTGGAGATCCCCGAATCACGTCTGTCTCGACATGTTACAACGGAGACAAAATACCAAACTGAGAGGCCATCAGCTCATAATGGCCACTTACTACGGTAGATTTGATTGGAGATAATACGTTTACCCTTTTGGGTAGTCAGAACTTGGCACGCTGTTTCCACTCAAGTTAGTTTGTACCCCACACTAAAGCTTTTGAAAACGACTGAACTTCGCTTTTTCCCATTTACATTAAGTGACATGGTAAGTTTCCGTCGGAAGAAGAAATAACCAGCCGTCTCCGTAGTGAGGGGACCAGCATTTGTGTTCATGTGAATAATTCGATGAGTAAACATTGCTCCGATACTTGCCACTCAATCGCTTTTATGCCCATTATAAGTCATTGTTCATTGTAGTGAGCAGCCGAAGCACAGAAAAGCAACAGTTTGGAAATTTTAATCGTCTGTAGTTACATAAACTCTAAACTTCTCAATGTCATCACAAATCGGTACAAAAGAAACATAGGCAAAGAAAAGTGTTTCTCAGTACACAACGAGTTATTCCTCCGATCTGATGTGTGAAAGGGATCATAAAAACTAGAGCAACTTAGACACAACGTGATGATAGAGATATTAAAACAACATACCATTCTGAAGTGACAGCGCAAATGAGATTCAGCCATTCGATCACAAGTCAAGATAAAAACTCTGTTAGTAAATTGAAAAACTAACATTTGCAGGAAAGCGTCTAACATTAGTGTGATGTGTGCCAAAATACTAGGGTAAGCATAGGGATGACCTGACTTGTCCGCACTCCAAATGATCCAAATGTGGTGCAATAATTTATCACAGTGAAACACAATCGTTCCAGCAATCGTGGTCCACACCAGTGAGATCCACAAACTATTGTATTCTGGTGTCATCTTTGTCCACGCCAATTTACCTCGTGTAGAAATTGTCCGGTTCAGTCGTCGAAGTATTTGAAAATGCATACAACACAAGAAAAACGCCATGATGCAAAGATAGACCAAGCAAGTTACATGCGCTTCTAACTTTAAGCCTATCCTGGTGTGCATAAGCAGCGAAAGTAAAAATGCTGTCGAAATGATACAAATGCACAATACCATTGAAAGGGTTTTACTGAAAACAAACAAATCATGACGAAACACATTTTGCACATCGGGTGTAACATAAGAGACTTGGGTTTCAGTTTCGCGTTGCATATCATTCCTTGGAGTGTCTGTCTCGCGCCACTTCACAGTCCGGTTACGTTCTTTGTTTTCTTGGTTGGTTACTACATCTTCCTTTGATGGTCTCCGGAGCCAGTGTTTTCGCCAGATGGAATACAAGTAACCTAAGCAACGAATATAGCGTATGTCTCAGATTAGACAGTCAGGATGATGAGTTTAAAAGATAAGTGATAACGTTAAGTGCAACATCTCGGAGCACGAAAATAGAAACGTTTCGTCTTTACTAATTAGGGAAATAACGAGTCAGTTATGCTGATAGTGATAACAAGTGCCAAAAAACCATGTGCTCATATTATCATAAAGCGAATATAGTCTATCTCCCGCAAAAGGTGTTTCACCGTTTTTCTGTCTGAAAAGCCAGATTCAGGTGAATAACTAAGATAGACTGAATGGTCTTACAATAAACACTGATAAATGTATAGAATACTCCTTTAGCACTCTTTGCAGCAGGCTGAAACATAAAGTCGCTAAGCAAATTGCAGTCAGTTTTATTTCAGTCCTGCTGTGACAACGGGTGTTAGTCTACCTTATAGTCCAACGGTTAATTACATAGTTGAATCTGTGGAGGACCAGGTAATGTGATAAGCTTAAAATCACAGTTTAACATGTTTCCAGCTTTGATGATCTATAAGCCGGTAACTTTTAGATGGATCCCGCATATTAGTTATCGCTATAACAATCACACAACAAGACCTATCTTTGAAAACCCCATAAACTACCGTTTGAACTGTTTTCAATGCCCCAATAGTCTGTTCTATTTACTTAAAAATGGGCAAACTAGGATAGAATAAAGTGACACACCCAACTTATGAATATTGCTCCATTTGTCAACGCTTGCATTATCCAATGGCGCTGTTTTAACCATTTTGCTTTACGGACAACAGAATACATGTACTAAGTTTAATGCGTCTATCAAGCTTTTATCTGCTGTGTGCTAGTCCCTTCACTAACACACCAGTGACATTCTGACAGGTGGTGTGTGTGATTTCTCCCTAAGGGGCTCCGGTGTTTGCTTCACCTTGTCATTCTTGCTAGCTTCCTATGAGAACGATGTGCTAACCAGTGAAATGGGCCCACAGAAATGGGTCCACAGAAATTCATAAACTGTCTCAACAAGAGTTACAGTATTCTCTCGACTGCCGAGGTAAAGTGAGCAGGTTAGTCATAGTTCACATAAATCAGTATCCACAGCTTCGTATCATCAGCGTCGATTGTAGTTGCCAGTAGATTGTCCGACTAAGTGGACCACTATATCCTTTCCTAGCGTACATCAATAATGTGCATTGTCATTCAGTGCGAAATCTAGACGCGAAATTACAGTGAAGCGTCCCCTTGATACTAATTATAGGAAGGTGTTGGAGACAAGCACTCCCGCTAGGTGTGAACATTTGCTTACTAAAGAGATACCCGGTTAGTCGATTGTCAAATATAAATAATAGATTAGCCGGGTTAGATGAAAAAGTACCCTTATGCAGCCATGGGCCGAGAAATTATTGTTTACTTAAATTGTTTCTTTTATACAATTCCCACTCATCTATGCTCACATTACCATAAGTCGCGCATAAGTAAGCATTTTTAGCAGCTGCGCTCAGGTGCATACGCATGCTAGCCGCAGTCAGGCGACATCACTATGAATAGCTTTGACAGTTTATTTTCTTACCAGGTCTAAGCATCTGTTAGCTCACCGAGTTAGATTCGCTGCCTTCTTGGCTGTTTTATGGGCTAAGATCTGCTTCAAATACGTCCTAGACCATAAAGGCAAAGCAAAATGGACAGTGAGATTTCGCAGTGTAGTCCATTCGCAAAAGAACGCTTCAGTATGACCTTTCAAAATTCTAGACCTGTTTGTCGTGTCATCCGGATATGAGATTAAGGCGTGAAAGAATGAACTTCAGATGCATGCGGTTGAAGTAGAATTTGTTTCGACTTTTATTTGATGGTGGATCATTTTGTAGTACAGTGTTCTCGGGCGGACGACATTCTGTTTCCATATGCTTCGGCTAGGGTCCCAGCGATCTCACTGACAGTGGTTCACTCTAATGTGAATCGTGGTCTACATTGAGATTGTGTGTATCAATCCAATCACACAACGTGTAGTCAAAAATGGACCCTGCAATTGGGCATGCACCGTTGTGCCAAGAGTTGTCCGCTGTGACCCGATAGTCAAAATGGTAGATTTCGACCACTATTCCAATGGTCGCGGGCTCGATGCCTGCTCCGGATCAGGACAAATGAAGTCGAAACGCGTGACATAGTGCAGTGTTCTCGGGCGAGCAACACCCGATTTCCATCTTCTTTCGACTTCATCATAATACAGCCTCCTAATCCGAGTTATCGCTGTAGCCGTCGGTTTCTCCATCTCTAATGCTACGCACGTGTGAGCAATCGAAAGAAGTTGGGAAATACTCAGTGTAGTGGTGGCCTACAGACTAGCTCAATTACACCAGGTTAAACATGCAGATAAAAGCAAGGTCTGATGGCGCGCTGTATGCGCCTGTGTTTAATATAAAGCGAACAGTGCACCAATGTAAAAGTCACGACACCAAGTATCTATGTATCAGCGCCCTAATTTCGTGACGGCACTCAGTGATGGCGCATTTGAATGTACGCAATGGGTAGACATACGCAGTTTTAAACGCCTACTGACAGGCTTTCAGTAGTCTAAATGACACGTGAAATAGTCGATGAAAAATATACATTCCTTCCGCTCACAAAACCACTTTATAGTATTTAGTTACCATCAACAAGTTGAAAAGCACAGAAAGACGAAGGGTGGTAGACGCATGCATTTCGTGTTGTCTCCTCAGTACCATCAATAATAACAGAATTTATCGTACATACAACTTAATGCGTTGCAATTAGAAGCCTTATAACTTGGGCTTGATTACAATTCCCCCCTAGAAGCTTAATGTGAGGACATTTTTGACCAGTTTAAGCAGCTCCAACCAATCAGCCCTGATAAGCATATTTGGTTCAGGAACAAGTTAACTGATATCGCCCATGAGGTGAAAACTATGCCAATTAATGACAAATGTGCCATCACAGCTCGACATTTTCAAGCCTTACGTGAACTACGAGCTAAGGACGTAGTCGTAGTGAAACCCGATAAAGGTTCAGGAGTGGCAATCATGAACAAAACCGAATACAATGAGAAGATGTGTGTCATACTCAAAGATGCGAGTAAATTCGAACGGCCGACGAATGTGGGTGACAAAATCAATGTCGAAACGTGTATAGTTCGTCACCTGGCATTGCTTCTCCTCCACCGCGTGATAGGCTATGATACGTTTAATAGTTTGAAGCCGAGTGGTAGCATTATTCCACAGTTGTATGGGTCTTCAAATACACATAAGAGTCAAATGCCACTCAGGCTAATCCTTTCAATGATAAACCCGCGCCAGCATAAACTAGCAAGTTGGTTAGCGAATTTGCTATCTCCGCTGAAACAACAGTTCGCTTCGTACAGTCTTAAAGACTGCTTTCAACTCATGGATGCCCTGGATCAAGTCAACTTGTCAGACAAAGTCATATGTTCTTGGATGTAGAATCCTTAGTTGCCAACATGCCGCTACATCAGACGGTTGATTACGTGTGCGAATTAGCTGAAAGCAGTGGCTGTTCTCTACCAATTCCGACGTAATTGCTAAGAGAATCGCTACCATATTGCACGGAGAATGTGGATTTTCTCTTCCGAAATACACCATACCGTCAAACTGACGGCATAACAATGGCTAGCCCGTTAGGTCCTGTGCTCGTTGATTTCTTCATACTGATGGTAGAAAGAAATATTTCTACGGAAATAGCCCAGGTGCCCTACCACAAACAATATGTCGATGATATCTTGACTTTCTGTTCGTCGGAGCAGCAACTCACACATTTGGTAGAACGGGTCAACGGTGTTCACGCTAACTTACGGGTTACATGCGAAATAGAACAGAACAATTGTCGGGCATACCTGGACATACTCATAAGTCGTAGGGAGGATGGATCGATTAAGAGGTTCATTTAACGAAAATCAACTTGGTCCGGTCAGTACCTGTACTTCACCAGCTTCACACCAGTGCCGTACAAACGGACACTTGTGAAGACTCTAGTTAGTCGTGCCAGAAGAATTTGTTCGGCAGACTGTCTGGACGATGAGCTGGTGTTACTTACGGCAACACTAATGGCGAACGGCTACCCTAGAAGATTTATCGAGAAACACAAGCAACCATGAGGGCCAAAGGACTTGGTGCACACGACTGCCAAGAAGGAAGTGTATATCGAGTTACCTTTCAAAGGTGATTTAGCCACGCTGAAGACCACTAAGCGTATAGTTTTGGCTACACAAGGAAGTTACTATGCTGCACAAGTTCTCGTCATCAAACGAAACCGAAATTTACCCATACTTCCAACGAAGGAAGCTCAGCCTATTGGGACCAACTCACACTGTGTATACCAATTTGTATATGACTGCGGAAACAGTTACATAGGTAGAACTAATAGAACGCTGATTTCCCGAATAAAGGAAGATGTACCAATGTGGATTCAACGTGAAGTTGCTCAGATTGCCTACCCACGTTCCCGCAGACCGCCGGCTTCCTCTATAGGCAATTGCCTATTAGACTCGGATCACCGGATTGAGCTGGGCTCAGCTTTTAAATTTACGTTACGTCACACTAATCCCCAGTCTCTTCGGTTTGCTGAGGCTGTCGATATAAGCCGGATTAAGCCAGCCTTGTGTGTTCAGAAACAATTATTTGTCAGCCTAAAGCTTCCTTGGACGTAGGTGTGAACATCCGTCATTCGTTTTGCACCTTAAGCTTGTCTGGTTGCACCCGCTGTTATTTATATCTATGCATATCGGTTTTTGTTAACGGTACTGAGGTGACAATACCAAATGCATGCATCTACCAGCCTTCGTCTTCTTTCCGTGCTTTTCAGATCTTATAGTAATCCGTTGCATGACAGGATTTCTCTGCGACCTTGGAGTTGCCAACAAGAGCGCTGATCCAGTCTTTCTTAACCGATGTTACTAACTTTGGGTCATTTGTCAAATGTTGCCATTGGGCAGTTAGACATCGTTCTCACAACCCACCGTACAAAGTCAAACCTGACAAACCCATTCCATTGTGTTTATCCTAACTGATCGGCTGCACATCTCAAGATTAATTTTCGTCGTCAGAGTTATCTAAGGTTTAAGGCACGCCAAATTATTTACTCTTCGTCGAATGCTTGGTGAAAGTGAATTGGTATCAATTTGTCTTCAACACAAACCGCTGAGCTTCAAGCATGTGTTCATTTTGCGATTGTTAGGTTAAGAGATGATTCGCCTAGTTAAGAGCAATCAAGTTCCTAAGTTTGACTTCTTCAAACATGAGGGATCACATAACTACATCTAAAGTGGATAACATACCCAAGAAATTTCTATCTTCCTATGTAATCGACCGACCGAGAATAAGCAGAAGGAGGTGAAACTATTTGGATGTTTATACAATTACATTATCCGAAAGATTTTCAGGCAAAATATTCACATCTTCGTATGCACCAATCCTCGAAATAGTTGTAGTGTACACACTACAAAGTCATCGCGCTTTCTAATACTTCGCCCAGTAGTGAGCAAAAATAACCGGGCAGATTTCACTGACTGAAAATTTATTTACAGCATCCAATCCCGCACTACTCCTTTGCGCAAAACAAACTCAACAAGTATCTGATGTGTGAAACGTAGATGCAAATAATTGGATTTATCATTGATCTACGGAGGATAGTTGATAAATAGCTGTAAAAATATTGGGTTACATCCTGGATTGGATTCGGGAGGTTTTTATTTTCCTATAATGATCGGTGGTGTCTGTGTGGTGGGGATATTTACATGGTCAAATAGTTGGGAGATGAAAATCGTTCAAGTCGTTTTGAGGGTTCAAGCTTTAAGCTTCCTGTTACTGAAAATTCCTTTCCTGAAGGCAGTCTTAAAATGATAATACTGTCTCACTCCAGTTTAGGTTTACATGTGATTTGCTTTGACCACGAGTTGCGTATTTCATGGAGCGGCTCGCGTATATCGTGAGGTATTGGATTTTGAGACGCTGGCTGAGTCTGCTGCAAACATTGAGCACTTTAAATTATAGTGTTATTTTGATCTGTTGCAGACGGAACAACGGTCCAAAATTCTCTAACCATCACGTTCGTTGTATCCAGAGTGACACAGGGAATGCATTACACCTAGGATCGGGCAGACAATAACATCCAGGGGTACAAGTGAACGTCAGCGTGCGATTGTGGCAGATTCTGGAAGACGACTAATTATAGACTGAATTGGATCTCTAGACTGTGGATTAAGTGTAGCATACGATATCAACCAGGCGAACATCATGGACACCATGGCTCAGCTGGCACTCACGGTACACTGTGTAAAACCGGCGCGGTTGCTTGAAGCGGAAAGACAGTACAGTGCGGCAAATTGAAATGCAGTCACAGTGTAAGCGAGAAATCGCTTAGAAGTCTGGAGTTAGCGCGTTTCCACCGAAATCAACAAAACGAAGCCCGAAATTGAATAACTGCACTATTTGCAATCAATTAAAGGAACAAAATGCCTTCAGACACAGACGTATCAACAAGTGCAATAGTTAAAATAGCCAACAACTTTGGCTTCAAGACACACGTAGAGTATCAGCTCGTCTCATTGTTGGCTTAAAAACGGGCTTACAAGACCCATCGGAAAGAAGGGAGGCTATCAAGAGCTGTGGGTATGAGAATCCGCACCTTACGCACAGTGATTTCATTGTATATCAAATCTACACAAGCGGAATAAAACAGTAGGCCTATCAAACTAAATGATTTCAAGGTGTGACCTTAATTCACAACATCACAATATTGTCAGGTAACATGGAGTGAACGGTGATGAGCACAGTGGATAGACTGAAACATTATAAGTGCACCGACAACACATCAACGTTACTATGTGAAACGATAGTGCTTTTTCCGAAGAAAGAGAAGAAGGTTTGCTACCTTCTCAGAGTGCAAAATAACAATTAATTCAACATCAGTAACCGGATGCATTGGAGCCAGAGAAACAAAGGGTTTGGAACAAGGATAAGTTGGGTAAATGGTACAGGGTAGCACAGCTAGGGGATCATTGAACGGGATAAAGGATAGAGCATTCGGGATTCTCCTACACACAGGATCTTATGTATGGGTTCACAAGCCAAATTCTGGGACTAGATTATGTGCTCGCTTGGTGATGTCACACGCAGTGCCGCTTACTCCGCAGTGGTGCAGATTGGAGCATCTGACGGTAAACTCAAGAAGCACGATCTGTGGGAAATTGGTTGCTTACCGACCAGAGGCCGCATTTCGTTATAAACCTTACTACTTATTAGTAGAGCAAGTAATATGAGCTAAATTTAAGTGTGATGTGTTCCTGGAGGAGCCGACAGTGCAAATCAGATGGCAATGGGAGCGATCCGCCAAGAAATCCGCCTAGAGAGTAGTATGACGATACGAAACATTATGCTTATTCTGAATAACATTGATGCAGCTGACTTGGTGCAGCGAAAGTTATCGGAAAACCCCGAAAAATGGTGCGATTCGCGTGCACTTAGGGGCATTCATACCCTGAAATGCATATTCTCGTGATGCAGCATTTCGAGAAGCGGATTGAAACCAAAATTCATGGTGGGTTAAATGGAAGCATGAAGCCAATGCAATTTTTATACTGGTACTCACACTACTAGATTTGTAGTGGATATTTTAACCACCAATATCACTGAAAACTTTATTTTCACACTTTTACTGGGTAGAGTGGACAGGTGCTCAATGTAGTCAAAGTAAGGTCTTTTTCAGAAAATGTCCCACCGTAGAAAGCTTCATGAAAGAGGTGGCCGCAGTTGACCATAATCTGGGCATCCTATTGTGGATATTATCTACTGTAGACTGGCGATGGCCTACGAATTCTGCAAATACCTGATTGCTTGTGCAGTGATCAGATGCATTGCAAAACGATAACTTTAAGTCTGACTTACAAAGCATGACCATATGAAATTGACCAGGTACAGGAGAAAGGCATTCTTCTGCATTTTCAAGTATCACTGACCACGTTGCTTCTGGATACCCGATTGATGCTGAAAACAAAGTCCGAAAACAAAATGATAAGGTCCGTTCGTTGAAGCATATTTGATCGCTCAAGTCAAGTCAAGTACGTAGTTTATGCACCCGCAATGGTTGAAATTTCACTGGAAGCAATTGTTTGCATTCATTGATTGTACTGTGCTCCACTTTTGTCTGATGCGCAGCTTGTGAATAAATCTCTGATAAGTAACGCCCTAAGGAGGTTAAAATAGCTAGGGTGATCTTTCACAGTGCAACTTTATCAATACTTTCAATAAACCTGTTTCAACAGCTCCACTGCAACACTTTGTCACTGCAATAGTTAGCTACAACTGAACAGCGCGAGAGCAAACATTAGCGTCGTTTGGAGCAATTCATCGAAAGACTCAATTGTACTATGGAGTCAAGGAAGAATGCGCTTGGGAAGTTGATTTTCAAGGGAGTGCATTATGTCTGTCCTGCGCAGAGCCTCAGTAGTACGTCGGCACACCAAAATGACGCTTCGCAAGCATGCGATGAACATCTGCCTCGCAAGGTCACCGCAACTAACGCGGACTCAAAGCAGTGACCTCCGGATCGAAAGGCAAGCGTGCAATACTTTGGTCACAGGCCGACCTAATGGTATCCGAACTTTTACTCTGTCCAAGAACTAAGAAGTCGGCAAGAAAGAGCAATAGCGAATAACTAATTAATTTAATTGTTCAATTGTTTAATTGGTAAGTTGTAAATTACCTCGTTCATACTTACGCCCAGCACATGTTTGATCCGTTTGACTATATTGAAATCAATCAGAGTACATAAAGCAAATACCTCGCCGAACTACAACGGTGGTGGCCCGAGATTTTTGAAGGTGGTCCTTCAGTCAAAACATATGGTAGCACGGATGTTAAAAAGCTGGTACATGTTCCGTTGCAAGCTACCATCTGAGGTTCGACTGAAGATAATCAGTGATATGCCTCCTAGAGATTATACGTCTCTCAAAGAACCAAACGCGATGGGATCTATGAAAGAACAATGCACCAGTAGTGTGCCGAATGAGCCCATACAACCTGTAGAAGATGATATTGACCAGACACCTTACACTGTACGTCGAAGCTTAGACACGGAACTAACTACACGGACGACGAATAAGACATTAAATCCTTCACCAAGTACACATCGAAAAAACGATTAGTCGCCGGCCACTCACTGGTCGGCGAAACTTCACATATGAGTTGTACAACTTCTGAAACATGGCTTAAATCTGAGAAACCTTCATGTATGTACACTAACGCCCAAGGGCTCCTCATTAAAATTACCGAACTTCGACTACGTCAGATTGCGAATGCTTGGGACCTAATTTCTATTACCGAGACTTGGTTACACCAAGAGGTGACTGATGCTGAGGTTGAGATAGCCGGAATGTCACTCATCCGGAACGGCCGCCACAGCAGATGAGGTGGGGTCCTACTCTACTACCGCAGCAATCTACAATGTACAATAGTTGATGATCTGGAAACACACGTCACCGACTCACTCTGGTGCAGTCTCCGACTAAGGCACAACGACACATGTCTCATAGCTATCGTTTACCGCCCCCCAACCTCCACTCCGGAAATGGATTCCTACTTGATCTGTGGCCTAAACAGAGTAACACGCCCTAGTTACAGCCACATTCTCATCTCCGGAGACTACAGTCTACACAATCTGTAGGTTTTGGCATCGCCCAGTGAGCAGTTCAAAGCAGACTTGCATAAACTGATCGCTAATATTCCTTTGTACAATCGTGTCACCACGCCCACTAGATTCAGGACAGCAAACAAACCGTCCATCTTGGACTATTGTGTTCAAGAAAGAAGAGCTCATGGTTGACAAGTTATTGATAGACAGTCCATTAGGTCTCAGTGACCGCTTATCAATAACGTTTATGTATGTGTGTTATGCAGATTATCCAACTGAACACTCGGAAATAACTCATAAAATCACACGCTACCACGTATTGAAAGAACTCGTCGACGCAGCTGCTTGGGAATTCTCAAACAAAAGTCCACTTGACAACGTTTATGCAGAGTTAGTTAATAGACTCAGCTACATCGTCAACAGAACATCAGAGACCAAACCCCATCGTCCCGCAAAAATGTCTTCAATTAAAAGCAGTAGGACTCGAAAATGCCTGGCGATAAGGGATGCAGCATGGCATGCCTACAAGACTAACCCCGACTCAGAGACTTGGGGAAATTTCCTGGCCCATCGCAACCATTGCACTGCACATGTCCGTGAGGACAAAGTAACTTATCTACAGTGCGTAGCCAAAAAATTCATGGCAAACAACAAACTGATATATAGGCATGTCAATAAGCTTCGTAAAGTGAAGCATGGAATCCCTCCACTTTTCACGACAGGCGGTAGAATACAAATTGCCGAAGAAGCAGCTAATGCCCTGTGGCTACAATACGCCCCAATTTTCGAAATCGCAACCTCTACCAGTCCCAGAATATCAAGCACATTACCGACCCCATTTTTACAAATGCAATTTTCAACCCATCAATTGTGCTAAGGAAGTTACTCTCACTGCGTGAGCATAGTTCTCCAGGAGCAGAAAACAGCCGCCCGAAAACACTGAAGGCTACGGCCACCAAGCTAGCTGAACCACTGTCACAGTTCTATCAAAGGTGCTTTGATGAACAACAAGTCCCCACTATGTGGAAGTGTGGCATTATCATCCCTATTTTTAAAGGCGGTAGCCGTTCAGATCATGCAAACTATAGTCCAGTGACTCTCCTCCCTGTGCTCGCGAAGGTGATGGAAGCAGTCATCGCTGAGGCTTTAATGGACTACCTAGCAAAATACAACATCTTGGTACCGGAACAGCATGTCTTCCGTCAACACCGGTCATGCACCACCAACCTACTGATTGCACGAGGTAGTTGGACGGCAGTGGCCGATGATGGGGTCGGAGTCGACGTCATCTATCTGGACTTCTCCAAAGCGTTCGTCCGCCTTGATCACCGCATCCTACTTCAACGGCTTCAGAGTTACGGTATCGGAGTTCCTGTACTTGGTTGGATTGACAGCTTACTTTACCAACGGAAGCTACAAGTACGTGTTAGGGGATCACTCTCTAACCCAATTGAGGTGGAATGTGGTGTCCCACAAGGCTCAGTGCTGGGACCGCGCATATTCCTGGTGTTTATCAATGACCTGGCAAGAGTCATCTCCTCAACTTTCCTGCTTTTCGCCGATGACGTTAAGATATGGTGGGTGATTAGTAACAAACCGGATCAGGATCTGCTCCAACATGACCTTGATTGCATTTACGAATGGTCAAAGAGGAACAAGCTTCAATTGAACATAGGTAAGTGCAAGGTGAAACATCTGCGTCACCAGCCGGTGAGCGCTTACAAGATTGGAGACAACACCTTGGCGAAGGTTTCTCAGGAGTGTTACCTGGGTGTATTGGTACAGGAAGATCTCGGGTGTTGAAAACAAGCAGTGAAGGCGACGAGAACCGGAAATCAACACTTCGGCCTTCTTCGCAGAGCCTTCGGTCGGTTTGAACCGTCAATATTTCCCCAAATGCTTAACGCCTACGTGCGAACTCACGTGGAATATGCTATTCAGGCGTGGCAGCCGTGGCAGAAACAAGATCTCGTTGCTCTCGAGACTCCTCAACGAAGGGCAACCAAGAACGTCAGGTGTCTCTTTCATCTGCCCTACCAGCTTAGACTGAAATCTCTAAGAATCTACAGCAGTCGATATCGGCTTTTGCGGGGGGATCTCATAATGGTTTACCAGATTCTGAAGAACCCAAACCACATTTGCCGTCCGCTTCTGGAATTGAACCACAACACTAACCTAAGAGATCACCCTCTGAAACTGACAATTCAGTTTAGCCTGCTTGAATGCCGTAGAAATTTCTTTTCTCTTCGCGTGTGTCAGCCTTGAAACGCCCTCGCTAATTATGTCGTCTCTGCTCCCAATCTGGCGATATTTAAAAATCGAGTTGACGATGCATTGTCTCACTTACATTTCATTTTATGACTTGTTAGTCAGGGGCTACCGAACGCAATCAAACGGTGCCTTGCCAAACGCCTAACCAATGGACTTATGGATTTATACGTTTAATACGCGAACATCTCCGCCATTCCACATTAGTCTATGGTGAGTCCACCACAAAGCTTTTCACTTTGTTATGCAACTGATTTTCGTAATAATTTCCATCCCACGGGACTTGTTAAGCGATGCATTTTTACCCGTAATGAACTATTGTTCCATTGTTCCATTGTTAACTATGCACTACAAGCAGTTGCTACCGTTCAACTTCTTCGTCACACACAGTTTTTCTGGAGCCGCGTCACGGCGACGCACTGGGAAGAACACCAATTTAAGTGCTTGAAGGAAAAGATATGCTAGTGGTCACTGTGGTAGACTTGCACTTCGGTATTGTTTATTGAGTCGAAATACTTACATATTATGGAGTCACACGAAAGGTGTTCACGTACGACGTTATTTCTAATAAAATAGAACAATGGCGCAACGGTTTTATACGGGTAATAATGCTCATGCGTAGCAGGTCAGGTAGAATGGTCATGGTGAAACTACAAAATATAGAAATATCGTTAGCAAAATTAGGTTTATATCAGTGAACTCACTGAAGCATAGTGTGTAGACTGTAAATCCAAGGCAAATCCATAAGAAAGGACGGCAAACGGGATGTAGGTACAACTCATGTCTACTCCTGCTGTACACATACAGGCGGTGGAAAACATGAAACGAAATCTGGGACCACCAATGAAATCTCTTATCCTTGGGTAATAAGTCATGTAAGATGGTGCAGCGAAATAAGTGCACGGTCAACTCTGGCTTTGAAATCTGGCAACGTGGGAGCACATATGACAGATTTCAGTAGGGCATTCCACGTCCGGCAAATGTGTACGGAAAATAATTCCGACGGCACACCAAGCGACTGTGCTGCTCTATCAGTTTGAGATGGTTACTTCTTAAAAAGCTGTTGTGTCTGAGCTCTAGCAAGTAGCGGTAAGTGTGTTTGTGCGCACTCAAAATCTGGCAAGTTACAATGCAGTCCACTCGCAGTCCCCGATACTGTCAGCTGAAGACAGCGAGCACGTATATCCCTCGTTCATACGGTATATTATGCAGCCCCTTGATATCCTTGGTTGCTGGGCGTTGGAGTATCTCCAAGGCGATAACATCTCTCCTAAGCCACGGCCGCCGGACCTCTATTGCGTATACCACATGTGGCCGTGTGCATGAACCGAGAAGTTATAGAAAAAGCGGTGGGTCAGATCATCCGAATGTAAGCTTTCGGAGGCTCACAGCTTGGATTCCCCTTCTCAGCTACTTTTCAACCTGCTTCTAACATCCAAAGTCGACCTGGACCAAAACTCGTAGACCCTTCTCACCAGAAGTGGTTTGAAGCTCTTGCTTACCGAATTTGTAGTAGTGCACCAATTTGTGCCGTAGGTGCAGCACTCTACATTTGTCTACATTGAATCGAAGTAGATTCTGGATTGACCACGCGTACACCTTGTCTAGATCAGCCTGAAGAACTGTGATATTATCCGGTGTATTGATCGCCCTCCATGCCTTGATGTCATCGGCATAAAGAAGGCAGTTTGAGCTTATGAGGCGAGTCATGTCGTTAATATACGTCAAAAATAATTGCGGTCTTACTACCGATCCCTGAGGTACTTCGCATACAACTCGGATGGAATCTGACAGGGATTCACCTACTCTTAATTCTAGGCGCCGGTGTGGAATAAAGCTTCTAATCCATCCTAGAAGAGTACCGTCAATATCAGATGTCTGGACTTTGAAGAGCAGTATGTTATGGTCTAACCGCTTTAACAACTTTGAGAAGTCCAGAAAGACTACAGCAAGTTCCGTGTCAGAGTCTACTGCTTCACTCCAGCTGGATCTTGCTAGTAGTAGATTTATAATGCATGATCGATTTCGGTGGAAGCCATGCAGTTACGATGCGTGGTATTTAAAATCTTCCAAGTAGTCCGTTAGCGCATCAACAATAATAGCTTCTATGATCTTTGAAAGAACCGGTAATAGGATAATAGGACGATAGTTGGCTGGATTGGAACAACTACCTCCCTTGTGAACAGGAGTAATCACCTTGTTTCTCCACATGTAGGGCACGTACATTTCGTCAAAACAGTGTTGGAAGAATCGAACCAAAGGCTCAGCTAAGCTGTTTCCTAAAGCCTCTAGCGATTTCGTGTAAATATTATCAACTCCAGTAGAGCTGTGCTTGCGCATACCCAACAGCTTGTTTAGTACAGCTTCTGCAGTGAAGGATATGTGAGTGAGGTTTGGGGGTGAAACAACCATTGCCATAGGACTACGTTGCCAGTGATAGCAGTGAAATGTTGCAGCATATTGTAGGCCCAGGGTATTCGCCGCTTCCTTTGGTATTCGTGTGGGTCTCCCAGCTGTTTGAAGAGGAGGAATTCATCGTTTCACCTTACCAAAACTGTTGACGGGTTGATACAGAAGCTTGTGCTTTGAGGCCATACGCACTGCCAACTTCTGATGGTACGCCATTCTATCCTCGTGAACAAACTGAGGACAATGGTTACTTTGCGGCGTATAGGCCATCTAGTTCTGGGTGCTCGGGGAAAATTTGTAGAAATGCTAGGTTGTGTTCCGCACCGCTACACACATGCGGTCCTGGTTCGCAGAAACGAGACCACGTTTCCCGGGCGGAAGGTCTTAGTCACTGACGTTTCGGCAACAAAAGAGTTAAACTGGAGGACGAAATGTTCCCACGTACTAGCTGGTGCCTCGTTTGTCAGAAAGTTTCAGTTGGCTGTCTCACCTAGTCGAGCTAATATGTCGTAGCTTACATGGATTCCCGTTGCGCCTGTAACTCCTACTTACTATTCTGCTCAGTAAATTATGCGAAGAGTAGTACTGCATGATCGCTGCGGCCCAGTGGGCCGTCGACGATCACCCTTTTGACCATTAGTTCTTCGTTGTTGAATAACCTATCCAGTATCCATGGCTTATCTTTCTCTCGGAATCGGGTGAGAGTGCTGATGTGGCCATTCAGCCGGTAAGTGGATATAAACTCTTGTCAAGCGGCCTTCAACTGATCTCCGGGAGCTGCTTGGGATTAAAACGCATAGATGTTGAAGTCGCCAGTAATGAGAATGTGATTGTACTATGTGTTTATCACCCTGCTTATTGCGGATGCCAGATGGTAGCGCATCTCGGGCGTGGAGGAAGGAGGGCGGTAAATGACCGCCACTAAGCAAGTGTCGTTGTCTTTCAAATATAGACGACACCAAATGAAATATTGTACCGTACTGAACGGATCCTCTATGAGCTAACATTAGAGGTCTTTGCGAAAGTACAGAGCCACCCCACCACATATGCTGGGTCGGTCCTTCCGAATAATGGACATGCGTGGCAGTGCGATCTTCTTGTCACTTAGGTCAGCGCGTAACAATGTCTCAGTTATAGAGATGAGGACGCATGCTTTTTATCCTTGACGTAGCCCCATTTCGGATTGTTGACTTAGTTAGCCTTGAATGCTGGTGTAAATACAGGAAAACTTATCGGATGTCAAAAGCTGTTGACTAGGAGCGAAAACAGTGTGTTGCAATTGGTCATTTGGTGATCAGAATGAGTTAAACGCGATTTCATATGTCCTTCAAGCAAGGATAATGCTCTAAAAATTATGTGTTACGGGATTGTTTTGTTTTATTCAACCAACCGTGCAATTTTATGATTGTTGGGTTGCCAAACACTCCTGCTTTCCCCACTAGAACATGGCAATCAATCTGGTAGATTTTTTCGTAAAATATACAACGAGGGCACATACTTTCCCTATCTACCAGCTTCACCTAAAATGGCAAAGCCTTGTTATTCGCAGAATTATTTGAATTCGGAAATTGCGACTGTATAAAAACACAACATTTTTGACTTTCTTCCCCTAATTTCAGCGCAGGTCGCCATGTTTGTCATTCAGATAAATGACTTTGTTTGGGTTTTGGACACAAGGCACCAGTTCGCTTTCACAATTGCTTTCGGTTTTCCATTGTCTTCGTGTGATAATTGATGCATCATTTTGTGGGCTGAAGGATGAGCGGTAATGTTGAATATCGGTTCAGAGATAAGTTATTGACAAGGAGTCTTTACGGGAAGTTTTGGTTGCGCCCAACTGAGGAGTCATCTTAGTTCAGCAAATCTCGTGCCTCAGTCAACTCATCAACAATGTTATCTGAAACCAATGGTGTTTGTTGAGTTTGTACGAAAACAAGGTCTGACACCAGCGGAAGGCAGGGAACAAATATCGGTTGCGAAATCGAAAGGATGCATATCCGTCTCAGCGGTGTCAGGAAGGTGTGGGAGTTTTGCTCGCATTGAGTCAATTACGATCAGGTTAATGTGACGATGACACCTAGAAAAATGAAAATTTGGGAATGCAATCGGTTGCGTGTGTTAAAAATGCTTAGATACAGGGCCAAAAACCTTAGGCGCCTCCGAAATGCTACAAATTACTTTATACGATGCCACATTAATTGTGGCAACGAGCAAGCAGAAATGGTAGCTTAACTGAAGCGCATACGTATAAAATTTTACATATAAGGCTTATAAATATATTGAACCGAAAGTGAACAAATGGACCCCATGAATTAGTTTAGAAATTCTGTTTTGGACTCACGTATGCTGTTGTTTAAGTAGATTTGGCGCTTCTCCGTATGGTAAGTAACTAATTCGAAGACCCAGTTGTTCACGTGCACACTCCATAAGTGGGCCATACCAAGTGCAAAAAGCCAGCGCTGTGAGTAGAACGCCTAAAAGCGACCACACATGGAAGAGACATGGGTCAGTTATCATTGATAATGCAATACTTAGTGTCAAGACAGAAGGGAAGCAAAGCTCTGCACCCACAAATTCCTTTATCAACAATAGCCGGTGGATGCAGGTAGCCAGCAACCTGGAACTGACAATTGGCACATTAACTCAATTAGTTCTATAAATTACGTACGTAAGCATCGCGAAACGAATTGTCAGTCAAGCTTGATTCGCTAGGTAATATACCTGGAAACTCAAGTTTTGTCTTACCTAACACCAAGCAAATGAAAAATCATCCGATTTAAAGGTAGAAAAAATTTAATTCAAAAGAATCTAAGCATTACAGTCGTTCGAGTGTCTGAGCTTAAAATTTTGCAATATTATCTTAATACTTAATGAAAGATCCCACTGGAAATGAGGAAACGCCAAACATTAGCGACCGTCTGCTATTCTTCCAAAGATGTGTTGATTGACAAATAGTGTGTTATTATATCCTTCGGAACTTTACTTGTTTTCACCTTACATGGAAAAGGAATGTCCAGCATCAAACTGTTGATGCTTGTCAAAGCGCAAATAACAAGATGCCATCCAACATGAGGAAATACGTCGACGTATCAAATTCTCCATTAACTAAGTTTCCTCTCTCTCTCTCTCTCTAAGTCTCTCTAAGTATTAGACGGTAGGGGATGCATAGCCTAACCAGGTGACAGAGTTCGGTTGTGTATTCCGTTGTCTATCAAGCCGACATTTAGCAGTGTTTCTTACCTCTAAAATTTCAGCGTTAAACCAAGATAAAAATGTTAAACAGATTCATTATGAATTCATCGCTTCAAACCAAGTCGTCAAGTAAACGGAAGCAAGTATTAAGTAGTTACGGATTTGATTCGTGACTTAAACCAAAAGTATTGCCATAATTATTATGGAATTTGCACAAATGTGTCACTTTCGTATGTCAGTAAGAAATAATCACTGACCATAATACTCGCAGCCAGAGAACTAGTTTTTTGAGGTGAGAAACCAGTCTCAAAGCTTACAATAAATAATCTAAACCTTCTATACTATCACAAATGGTGAACGCTTTTAGAGAGGTTACCGTTGTTTACATCTTCTACCCATAAACAAGCATCCTGAAGACAGTGAAGTAAAACAAATTGTCGTAAGGTTTATATATATATATGTTTATTACCCACTACCTTGTCCATACTGGATCTAGGAGACAGTTGGTCGTTGCTGGAAGGGACGGAATGCACGGTCCTTGTGGTCGTGTTAGGATCAAAAAGTGGTTCCATGCACTCAGTGTGTAACGGACTACGGTCTAGCCATCGCCTTGCGTGCACTTGATTCCCCAAGTATAGCGTGCTTGTGTTTGCCTGTGAAAGAGTGGGGGTCGGCTCCGTTGATGAAACGTGGCTCCCATCCACATGCCTCCCGGTCTTATTCCTTCGGGTTTACACTGGATTTGGGGTGTGTGTTTGAAGCTGTGGGTGGTGCAGCGCAAGCCACCTATTGTCCTTCTGTAGGCGCAGGCATCCTGTGGCTGGCCACAGTGACAGGCAAATCCGAAACCGGATGCCGCCAACCATACAAAGTGAAAACAATCTGCATGGCTAAGTGGAATGTAAGGGGCATACTTGGCGAGGTTCACATGCCCCATTTCCAGCTGTACTACTCTCATCAGAGGCTAAAATTATGCGATTAAAAGATGATTCAGATTTAGGCAGGCGAAACAGGCTTGGTTACCTGATTAAGAAAAATGACGAACAGTGTTTGACACAATGTGCCTCCTAAAGCAAGACCGTGTTGTGCCTTGGTGATCTGGGTGCTCTGGACGGGCGGAAACAATGTGGTCCAAGGTGTATCTGATCCATTCCAATTTGGACGCATTCCTTGGGTTGTACAAAGCATGATGGTTGACCGCACCAGCATACAGATTGCTAAACCTATGGGAAATATAGAAAAAAACACCTGATGCCTTGAGAGTTGATCCCCGTATACTCTCTGAGCTCATCTCATGGACTTTAACTTAGGTACATGTTCAAAAATGCCGATCCTTTGTCCATGTCTAGAATTAAACCTAAAGAGATTTTAGTCCCAATGCATGCATGTTAACATTAGACTGGGGAAGACGGCTGTTGTGGTTTCCCGCTGAGTGCACGGATAGGTGGTCTGAAATCTGCTGTGCCGCCTGTAAGCAGTTCAATCCCGCGACGAAATAAAAACTTCACGAAAACAGCCGGACCGAGGGATTCGGATCCGGATTCGTACTGTGAACAATGAACAATAAATCATGATTTATCACGCGTAAAATAGCATGTGCTTGACAAATCCCGTAGGATGGTTGGAGTAAAATTGAAATTTAATGGATCATTAAATAAGTTAATCGTTATTTTAAGCGTCTGACGATTTACATGCACTACTGCATAACGAGAGATTGAAGTGGGAATGGGATGTGCACACACAAAAATAGGAGTACGGCGTAATAAATAGGTTGCAGGCTACTACTAACACAACAATATTGAAGATGCTAATTAATATTACTTAACACGACAATAGCTTCAATTTATGGTCTAACTTGCCGCTGATTCCACATAGATTCGCGTTTTGATCTTTATAAGATTTCGATCTCCAACTGTAGACCGATCCACTCTTGTGCCACGCTTCTCAGCTTGTGCGCTAGATCCCCGTAACACCTCTCTCGCGCAAACTGAGGCCTGACTTCCGTCATGGGTCCAGGTGCATTCTGATGACGTGTGATGACACCAGATCAAAGTGTTACCGTGACTGCAGCTTCGTTCCTTTTTGTGGCCACTGGTCAAAGCACATTAGGTCCATCCTGTGTCCCAGATTGAGTGGTTCAACGGGTGGAGAACTGTTCTCTCTAAGCGATGAAACTCCTGACCAACCATTAGTGTTGTAAGGCCTTTCCAAAAAACTGCTGTATACCTATCTCGCAGGTGCTCTATGACCACTATTTTGGGGCTGTTGGTTTGTGTATCTAGGCAGTTGCATAGAGTAGTAGACCCTTGCATTTCCTGAGGCAGGCAATTTCTCTGTCTAGCGACAAAGGGCCTCTTGGTGCGCTTTGATCCCTGCGGAATGTGGCAATGATCTCAGTGGTGAGCCTTTGTTTCGGCAAGTTTTGATTCACATTGTGATCTCTATTAGCTGTGTGGCGGATCAGGAGTACACAACTAGCATTTGGATTTTCAAGATTTTGGCGTCTAATCCCGTGCTGAGCAGTTTGTAACATTCACCTGCAATGTGCTCTAATGTGAGTGCTAGTTCCAGTTCACCTTCTGTTTGTATGTTAACATCTGTGTCAGTATCTCTGTTAATTGCCGCCGTGATTCCTCAAACATTGACTGTTGGACCTGGAGGAGCGTCAGCATTTGCTCCGAACAGATGGCTGTATACTGAAGTGACAATGTTCGAGTGGAATTTCTGATCATACGCAGCTGTGAGACCTCGATTTACTGCCACTGTTGTAGGACCATAGTTTTCAGATCTTCTCATGAGATAGCCAGGTTGATTCAGTCTACCAACCATTGCCAGAAATATGTGGTGGTGCAGTTGAATGCACGGTTAACCCGCTGCTACTGTGCGGCTGATCGGCACCAGAAATGTGTTCTGGTTTCCCGCTGAGTGTACGGACAGCCTGCCTGAAATCTGTTGTTCCGCCCCCAACCAGTTAAATCCCGCGACGAAATGAGAGCGCCAAGTAAACTGCCGGACCGAGGGATTCGGATTCGTATTGTGTGTGAGCATGGCATAATAAATAGGTTGCAGGCAACTACTAACACAACAATATTGAAGATGCTAAATAATATTAATTAACACGACAAAAGTTTCAATTTATGGTCTAACGCCGCTGATTTCATATAGATTCACTTTTTGATCTTTACTCGAGTTCGATCTTCAATTGCATATCGATCCACTCTTGTGCCACACTTCTCGGATTGTGCGCTGGATCTCCGTAACAACGGCAATTATTATTTCTCTACTTTGCGTTTATAAGTGAAGGAAACGAGTTTCAGTATTTGAAGCCACTTAGTACCAGGTGCCGTTTATCTACGAGGAGGACAGGGTACAGCGTTGCTTTGCCAAGGTGTTAAGAATTCTTTCGCATTAGTTATGCTCACACACGCTCGAGTGAGATAGAGCAGTGTACCTGATGCAGTGTGTATGTGAATTGGAATGTCGTCATAATTCCACTGCACTCAACATGGGATTATACGGGGCCTGCTAGTTTTAATTTTAAGAACAAAGCGGAGACGACAATTTTCAAGAAGCCGTCAGTTCAATGAAGGACGTTCACATTATGTTTAGGCTAATGACATACTTCATTGGCATAGAATACAATAGGTAATCAGTAACCGGAATGAGCGATATGGTAGATTTATCGCAGGAATCGGTCCAATCAAATGGCTTGCCTTTATTTTTAGAAGATTTAGAGCAATCTCAATAACTGGTGGGGCATTAGCAGTAAGGTGGTCCGCAGTACTGACGCTTCGCTGCCGCGCAAGTACTAACAATCGCGCAAGGCCCTAACCCCGTCCTCTGATGACAAGGCAACCTTGAGATCCTTTAGGTCACGGGCCGGTTCGTGCCTGATGAGATTAGACTTAATGGAGTTTAGAGGCTACGGATGCGGTAAGCCTTGAATTCTTTGTTTTAAACGTATGCTTCTTTCAAAGACAAGAAGGGTCCTTATCAGGTTTGAGTTTATGCACTCTGATGTACAGATTGGGAATTATTTTGCAGATGAAAGCGATGATTCTGCTACGGCTAACATGATACACAGCATTAGAAATGTTTATATGATACTTTGGAACTGATTAGTATAGTTGGTGAAGGACTGTAGCCGATTGAGCAGAAGTATTCATACGTGTGGAATAACTGATTTCATAGGAACAACCACGAGGTTCATAATCACAACCTGAAGCTGGTCTTTCGACGTTACAATGGAAGTGCGCTTAACTTCGATCATATAGCCGGAGAAGCCAAGGTGATTTGTCAGACGCGACTAAACTCACACAATGAATGTAAGTCCAACCAGTCTACACCTTAAGGACAAAAAGTGCACGCTATACTATTCCTACTTCACACGTGGAATCTGCTTTACTCTACAAACTAACATTATTAAAATGTTACTTCAAGAGTAATAGGGGAACAAAAGGTATTGCTCGGCATTACAGAAATCACAGCACTTCTTCTAATTAGAATTTATCTGCTTACTCTTGTAATGTGAGAGACAGTACCACTGATAGCTCAATAACACCACAGTAAATCACAGAGTGCACGTGATGTATTTCATTTGCCCCAGTACGGGTACTTCGGTATCTGCTCAATATATCTCTTTGTTTGTGTTGTTATAGGGAAACTTAGTTCTAGCTCAAACAATGTTACACGTCCAGTCATCACAAAGTTCAAAGCTAGAAACCGACATAAAACACCTCTTTAGAATTGGAGCACAAAGTGATCAAACGTCGGATAGAAAGCTTGCTTCCTTTTCACAACTATTTGTCGGTTTTATAGTTCAGATGACATCGGATTTCGGACAAAATACTATATGGTAATTCTAACCACAGATTGATCTTCAACCTAGATTATTGCTCCAAGAGACTATTAAATGAAACACAACCTATTCATTTGTGAGACCTTAGAGTAAGATATGGGTTTCATCCGGAGGCACACCATTTTATCAGTGAATACATCATTAGATAAACCAAGGAATCCTCCTTTGGGGTGTAATCGATGAGCACTATGAAGTAGCTGCTGAAGTGTCGCACAGAACACCTGTAGAATCGTGAAGTAACGAACGTACTAAGCAGTAGATTCTCCGGAAAAGATACAAACGTAACAGAGCGCTTGTGAGTCTATTTTGGTGACTATCCGGTTACAAGATGCAATAAATCGACTGGTCTCCTCAACTTACTGATTAGTAACATCCTGAACCCTTTGACCATCCGCGTGGTGGTATTGCTACAACGGGTACTAGAGAGAGTTTTATTGAAGTGTGTGATTCGGGATGTGTTGTCCATGAAAAATGGCAAACTGTTTGTGCTGACAAAGCTTCTACTGTTGGGGTTTGGCACTGGGTAGAGCCACTTGAACCATGACGATTGTTGACGAAGATTTATATATATTGGCTGACCCGTAGAACCAGGTCGTGGGCGAGTAAACCATGCACCAGTTCTGCACGGATTGTCTTGAGCAGACGAATTATAAAGAGTAAAATCGGCGCAATTCCGATATCTTCTGTCTCGAATAGCGAAATGCGAAAGGACAAACAAAATTGCGACGGAATGCAGGTAGATCAACAGCATCTGTGAATCCGAAAAATGAAAGACCAGATGAATAGGTGCAAGTACAAAAATGGGGATACTTCGAAGAGCATTAAAGAACTGTGACGCAAGGTACAATTTTTAAAGAAGAAACTGTGTGCATGATAGCTGAGGCAGCTAAAAGGAAGCTGCATCTATTCTAATAATGGATCGTGATTACTGCAGTATGTAAAGGGAACTGCAAAAGAACTATGATATCGCATGAAGCTCGGTTAGCTAACTTGGGTTTGTTTTCTATGAGATGACGCAGATTGAGAGGAGACTTAACAGAGACCTTCAAAATGAGGATGGGTCTCAGTGATCTCAGGCACACCGATCTGTTTGAACCAGCTAGGTCAGAGAACTTTCGAGGCCATTGCAAAAATTTGCAGCAGCATAGGCCTAGGCTAGAGTTAAGAGCCAGGTACTTAGCAAACCGGGTTGTGCCTGTTTGGAATAAACTAATTTCTGCTGTGTTAACATGTGAAACTGTGGATGAATTTAAACGTAGCCTAGACAAACATTGACTGGCCATGTTTCCTGAATTTGCATGAGCTTCAGTTACCGCCCCTAATCTCCTTACTTCATGAAAGTATGTTGCTCGTCTTGCACTTGCTTCTGTTTTTCACCATTGCACAAGCAAAAACATGCCATCTAGTCGCAGTGCTTTGCGCTCCTTTTTGCTTACTGACACACGAAACGGGGCGCTCATTAAGCGGAAGCCTGTTTCGTCCCTAGATCCTGTCCTGTCCTGTCTTATAAAGGGTACAAATTAAATGTCTGAGAAGTTCTGTAGAATTGATAAGGGGAAAAGTACAAGGTAAAAACACGGTCCTAATGAAATTGATCATCAGGAGGTTTGCAGTAGCACGGACGTAAGTAATCCTGTCTGGATTTCACTATACTTCACGCTATTGCTATCGTTTGATGGTCAAAGTCTATCTCACCTAATGTATATGCGCCAGCGTGTCTTCTAGTTGTCTTGGAATAGTGTACTTCTAAGAAGTTCAAGAGCTGTAGCACTCGGAGGATGAAGATATTTTGTCCACATTCCAGTCGGCTGCAGTGACTGACCAGTTTAAAATGATGGCCACGCAAAGATGTGTTTCGGCTTAGCTGCCAAAGTTGTCGAAAGATATGGTTGGGATTTTAAGGATTTGATACACCATCATGAGTTTGCAATCTAGAAGCCGATAACGTCCACTATACACCCTTAGATTTTTCAGTTAAGTTAGCAGAGGAGGCTGGATATACCCACAATGTTATGTATCGCAATGACTTGCGCCGTCTGTAGAGTGGTGAGCTGGTGTTTCAGACAGGTCGTCCAAACTATTGAATAGGTGCGTGGATTATGAGTGAAGCGACATTGTAATACAATATGCGCCTGATTATGAACAAAATTGCACAACATGTGACTGCGCTCTGTGTGGCGATAGCAGATTTTCTACGAGTATATTGTACACAGGAGAAGCCTGGTGTTACACCGTCTGCCTCGGGATAGCTTGGCTGTCAATAGTTGTCTCGGCCAACTGAAAAAACTACAGGTAGGTTAATTATGAGTAACGAAAAAGCCAAAGAAAGCCATTATGTACAGTGCTTTCTTAGTGGAATACCCGGTGTAACGGCTGTCCTAGCCGACCTGTAGGTCACCGGGCGCGTCCCTAGGTTGCGGACTGGAGGAGTGCGCCCTTTGCAGAGATAACTGTCGATAAAATTCACATGTTTTTCCTTGAAATAACTAAGTAGTCATGGACAATTCAGCGGCGATGCTAGATGGTGTGGTGGGTTCTCGCCTGGCAGTCATACTCCATATAAAATTCACATAGGCCGCATGAAACCACAATGACGTAGCCGATGTGACTCGCCATTAAATAAAGTCATTGCTGATGGGAGGGTTGGGTCTCTGTTATGGCTTTTAGTCATCCAAAAGAAGCATGAACCGCGCGCTTAGTCACCGGCTCACAAAGGCACAGTCTCTCATATAGCCCCACTCCCTTGTGGATTAAGCCCTTTGGCCAAAGGCGCAGGATCCCATTAGTAAACCTTCACTTCTGCCAAAGCAACCTGGTATTATTTCACCTACAAAGGAGGTAAGAAACTGAACTGAACTACACACGCTGACCCTGCTAATAGTTTGCGTTTTTGCTAATGCCACTACTAGTTCTTAGTCACAAGTCACTTATTCACCCACAGTTTATCTGCATCCTCCTTCTTAGTTTCCGTCTGACCCCTCATGGATGAACAAAATTGCTCTCTCGAAGGAAACTGTTGCTATAGCAAGCACACTGCACAAAACAGGGATAAGACAATATCATGATCTTCCCCAACCGTTGCTTCAGCAGAAAACACAGTTCTATTTGGAAGCGTTCAACTTGCGTAGGCCAATGTGGATTGGACAGAAAGCCGGTCTCGCAAGCACCTTGGAATCCCTTGCAATAGATGTCTGTTGTTTATCTGAAACCCGATTTAACGATCCCAACATGGTCTACCAACTGTCTTCACTCATTAACCCATATACCAACTTTCCTTCACCTTTCTGGTAATGCCAAGTCCACGGTAGCTGGCAAAGCTGGTCCTGGGATTACCCTTAGTTCCAAAGCCGAATCCGCCCTTGTTGAATGGTCTATGCGCTATGAGGCTCCATGGCGTCGAGAAGAATGCCGCCCTTTTTGTTATCTCCGCCTATGCGCCCAGTGACTGTAACCCGGATACAGTCAAGTACCTGATCTATCATAACCTACATGACCTGCTACAAAAACCCCCTACAACGGACATTATTGTTATGGTGCAGTGTTTCAAAGCAGGTATTGGTCATTTACTTCCAAGCGAACGAAATCTAGGAGGTCCACATGGCTACGATAACCTTCGCTCGGATAATAGAGAAATACTGCTCAGCCTTTGCTGCAAATTCCAACTTTACTTATCCAACCTGAAGGTTTGCTCTCCGAGAAACCACTACGCTATGTGGCGTGCTAAATCATTGTTAAATTGGTCACAGATTGATCACATCTTCATAAGTCGCTGGTGGCGTGACACTGTTCAAGCATGCAGATCCTATTGATCAACTTGCATGGAATCTGATTATACGTTGGTAAGTGCGACGGTATGAATGCGCTTCGGTGGCTCGCTCAGGATTAAACACACTCGTTTGAACACTGGTAAGTTGGAAGACCGTGGTGCTTAAGTGGAAAATCAAGGGAGGCTCAATGACAGTATCACTTCTACCTCTCCTCTGCATGTTGACCAACATTGATTACGTTCATAACAGGTTATTTTATCTGCGGGTCTGTCTAACTGTGATGTTGTTCGTTCAGCAGCTAAAAGTTGGATCTCAGCCACATCGTCGGAACTAATTGACGGCCAACTGTCTATTCACGTTGGTGTGGAGCACATCTAACTCCAACAAATCATTTTTCGAAAGTTAAAAGCAAGCCTTCGCTGCGATCGTGTATCATGGTTATCCAAACGAACCATAGAAATGGAAAGTGCTGTGGCTGCTTGGAACACCCGCAGTACATTTTATTGCATCAGATCCACTGTGTGCAAGTCACATGCCATCAGTAAGACCATCTGCGCTTTAGACAGTACAAGAATAACTAAAGTATGCAAGTGTCTGGATCGCTGGTCAGAGTATGTTGCTCTTCAATTTAAATCTCTAACTCAATCACCGGTAGCGTCACATTTACTATCGTGTGGTGCATAGCTAGTGGGCACAAATCCACACACTAAAACTGAGAATCGGACAGAAATCCAGACTATGAAAAGTTACACAGCCCCAGGCGCTAACGGCCTTCCTCCGGTCCCATTCAAAGATAGAGGGAATGCAGTTGTTACGAACATCTTTCGCTTTTCACAAAAGTGACGGTCAATGCGAAGATTCCCAACCCTTATGGCGAATATATCGTCGCCCCAACTTATAGGAAAGTCTCCCGCAGTGACTGCACCAACTTCCGATGAATATCATACATATCGGTCGCGTCTATGATTTTGTGCTATTACTGTACTGAAAGCTTTCAGCTACCCGAGAGAATTTGTCTCGCGAAGAACAAGCTGGTTTTCGTGCCGGTCGAGAATGCATCGATCAGATTTTCATGCTGCGTCAAATTCTTGGACATCGTCAAGTGTGCCGAATAAAACCAGTGGTATTTTGAGGGAAAAGAAGGATAAATAATAAGAGGGAGAGAAAGAAGACTTGCCGGAAAGCCTTAGTACCTTAAGCAAACATTCAGGATCAAGGTTCCTACGACTTATGAGCAACATACCGTCGCAAACAGCTGGCTATCGGGCAAAGATAAGGCGGTATCAGGTAGACAGTTTCCTTGCAGATTCTGCTGCCTAGCGTCATACTCAGCCATTACTACACAAATAAACAGCACCAAACACAGTTTAAACAGCCCGTCCGACTATGAGACGACAGTAGGCGCGCTACTGCTATCGGCTGCGAGCCATGTCTTGCAAGATTTCGAGTCAAGCACAAGGTAAGTTACGTGTACTCCAGCCTGAAAGGCACTTAGTTTGGTCGTTTCCTTCTTGCATATCAAACTTTTGTTCACCTCAGGCCTTACGCTGCCCTACAACTGGCAAACAAAACAAGGCCGTCATCGATAAGCGGTGATCAGGCATACGTAGTACGTGCCCTACCTAACGGAACTTATCCGGTATTATCTGTTGCTCTAAGAAGCTAGCTTGATCATCACTGTGCCGTCTTTGACATCATAGATAGAACATAGCTTTGGAACTGTCTGCTAAGTAGCAATATACCCTACTACTTTGCCGCAATCCTGAAGAAACTGTGTCGTCACACGTCAGGTAAAGTTAAAAGTTATGAAAAGCTTTCTCTATCTTTTGCTGTTACCAGCGGAGCACGCGAAGTTCGCCCGATCTAACGATCGATGATCTTATCCATCGCGCTCTAGAAGCAGCCGAGAGCTGCGGCGTTGCGCTCCGCTCCGGGGACAGAGTTGAGAACTTAGATATTGCTGATGATCTTGCTTAGCTGGGAG